GGGTGCTGAGAATTGAACCCAGGTCCTCTGGACTGGAAAAGCAGCCAGTGCTCTTAACCACTGAGCCATCTCACCGTCCAAGGAACTCTAATTCTACAAGTTGTATTTTTTTTTCATTTTTATTTTGAATGGGAGGGGATGGCACAGTATGTGTGTGGATGTCAGAGGTCAACTTTTACAAAAAGGTTCATTTTTATTTTATGTGTATGGATGTTTTGCCCATAGGGAAGTCTGTGCACCAAGTGAGTGCCTGGTGCCTGAGGATGCCAGAAGAGGTCGCCAGATTCCCTGGGCTTGTGAGCCACCATATAGATGCTGGGTTCCCTGCAAGGCCTGCCTGTGTGTGCTCTTAACCACTGAGCCACCTCTCCAGCCCTCAGAGTCAGCGTTTGGGAATCTATTTTCTCTTCCACCATATGGATCCCTCAGAATGAATTCAGATTGTCACGCTTGGGCGGAAAAAAAAAAACCCGTTACCTTCTGAATAGTTTCTTGGCCCGTTCCTCTTTGAGATAATACATGACATAGCCCAGGCTAGGCTCTGGCTTTATAGGTAGCTGGATGACCTAAACTTTTTATTTGTCGTATTTCTTGTTTGTTTGTTTTTTTGTTTCATTTGTTTGATTGTTTGAGACAGGGTTTCTCTGTGTTACTACTCTGGCTGTCCTGGAACTCACAGAGATCCACCTGCCTCTGTCTCCTGAGTGCTGGGATTAAAGGCATGTTATTCTTACCACGTGTGTGCGTATGATGTGTGAGTGCAGACCTGTATGCCATGTGCACATGTGGAGGTCAGAGGACAGCTCTGTGTAGTTGATTCTTTCTGTTCACCTCCACATGGGACCCAGGGCCTTCTGCCTGGTAGGCAAGCCCTCTAAGACTGAGCCACTGCCCCCTCCCCAAGAGTCTGATCACACACCCAGGTGCTTAGATTTCTATTTATTTGCCCAAGGTTCTGATGCTAGGAACTGGAATTTATCTCAGATATTGCTGGGATGGTTATGGTCCCTGTGCAAACACTCCTGGCCTCCTCCCGAGCTTTCCCCAAAGCTCTCTGCATTCCTGGCTGCTTAGATGGTAGGGTGTGTTTTGGGGAGACTGAGGTCATCAGACAGGTGATCCCTAACCCCCTGTCTCCCTGCAGCGTTCCCAGAGCGTGTGGAGCTGGGCCCTCTGCCCACCTGGCAGCAGGTGGGTAAGAACCTCACCCTGCGCTGCCTGGTGGATGGTGGGACACCGCGGCACCAACTCTCAGTCATACTGCTCCGAGGGGAGGAGGTGCTGTACCGGCAGCCAGTGGATGTGGACCCCAAGAACCCCAAAGAGATCACAGCCACGGTGCTGGTGAACAGAGACGACCACGAAGCCAATTTCTCATGTCGCACAGAGCTGGACCTCACGCAACATGGGCTACCGCTGTTCACGAATGTCTCCATGACCAGGCAGCTCCGGGCTTTCGGTGAGGCTCTGGGAACCAGGGTATTCCTACATAGGGTGCAGGTGGGACCTTGGGAAGAAGCCGACCCCTGCAGTGGGGGCGAGGTACTGAGAAAATGGTGATCTTGTGAGTGGCAGTTTTGGGACTGGCGAGATGGCTCATTGGGTAAAGGGTTTGCATCCAAGCTAGATGACATGAGTTCAGTTCCCAGCTTCCAGAGGAGAAAACCGACTCCCGAAAGCTGTCATTCGACCTCCTCAAGTGAGACGTGTCCGTGTATACACAGTAAAGAAAGAAGGGTGAACTGGAGAGATGGCTCAGCAGTAAGAACACTGCTCTTCCAGAGGACCCAGGTTCAATTCTCAGCACCCGCATGGCAGCTCACAACTGTCTGTAAACTCAGGTTCCAGGGGATCTGACACCTTCACACCAATGTACATTAAAGAAGGAAGGAAGGAAGGAAGGAAGGAAGGAAGGAAGGAAGGAAGGAAGGAAGGAAGGAAGGAGAAAAATGGGCTGTGGGTGGCCATTGCTCTTCCTTATGCCTGTGTTCTCTCTTAAGATCTTCCTGTGACCATCCCGAAGCTCGACACCCCTGACCTCCTGGAGGTGGGCACCAAGCAGAAAGTGCTCTGCTCCCTGGAAGGCCTGTTTCCTGCCTCTGAAGCCCAGATATCTCTGGAGCTGGGAGGCCATACACTGACCTCCAAGACCACAAACCACAGAGACTTGGTGTCGGCCATGGCCTTGGTGGAGGTGACTGCGGAGCTGGAGGGAACTCAGCAGCTGCTCTGTGTTTTGGATCTGGCAGACCAGACCCTGAGGGCGGAGAGGATCTTGAGCATCTACAGTAAGAAGGGGTGGGCTTAGTCCAGAGATAGCTAGAGACTTGATACCAAGGAGGTGTACCAAAGGGTAGGGCCCAGTGCAGAGGAAGGACCCAGTGTAGGCGCCCAGGCTTGGAACTTCCAGGGGCCATGGCCTAGCATAGGTTAGCCCAGGACTGGGACCAGGGGCACAACTAAGGCAGGTGAAAGCATTTTCAAGAGAAAGACCTGAGGCAGGGAGTAGTGACACAGGCCTTTAATCCCAGCACAGGGGTAGCAGAGGGCAGGTGGGATTGTTATGAGTTCAAGGCCTGCCAGGGTTATACCACGTTAGACCCTGTCTCAAAAAACAAACAACAACAAAAATATGCTAGGCCTTTCAAAAGGAGGAACCCGGTCCAATGCTGGAGGTTGGGACTGACACTAGAGGGGGCGCTGAGCCATCAAGGGCTGGGTTTGCTTTGGGCTCACTGTGTGTCCTTCCCACAGGCTTTCCAGCTCCAGCCTTGACCCAGAGCCAGCCAAACGTCTCAGAAGGGAGCCAAGTGACTGTGAGTTGTGAAGCCAGCGGTGGAGCGCAGGTGGTGAATCTGACTGATGTTCAGTCCGGGCCCCCATCCCCGAAGGTCCAGTACACGCTGACGGCCACAGCTCAGGATAACAAGCGACGCTTCTCTTGCTCTGCTGCCCTGGACGTGGCTGGGCAGGTGCTGTTTAAAACCCGGACCCTGGAACTGCAAGTGCTGTGTGAGTGGGACTGCCCGGTGGTAACTGTGGTCCCCTATTGCCCCAGGTGCCCTCTGAGCCCTTCCTGGACTGTGTCCTCACACGATCATTTCTCTAGATGGTCCGTACCTGAACGAGAGTGACTGCCCGACGAACTTGTTCTGGAAAGTGGGGACTTGGGAGACTCTGAAATGTGAGGCCAGGGGTAACCCACCCCCCACAGTGAACTGCAGCCGGAAAGGAGATGGAGCCCTGCTGCCCATCAGGGTGATGAAGTCTGTCACTTGGGCAATGAACGGCACCTATGTGTGCCATGCTGAAAGCTCCCGTGGAATTGTCACCAGAGATGTGTTCCTGACGGTCTGTGAGTGTCCCGGGGTACAGGGCTGGGTGAGTGGTGGGCAGGGTGCCAGATGCCTAATCCTTATCATCCCCTTCTGTTGTTACTACACAGACACAGAGACCAACCTTACCCTGATCATCATTTTGGTGACAATGGTGGTCATTGTCCTTATAATCACAGCAGCCATGTACTTCTATAACCGCCAGAGAAAGATCAAGATATACAAGCTACAGAGGGCGCAGGAAGAGGCCATGAAACTCAAGGCACAAGCCCCGCCTCCCTGAGCCTCCAGGACACCAACACATCCCTGGGCCCCCCGCTGCGGGTAGCAGCTGGTGCTGCTTTTGAACAGAAAGGTAGACAGATAGTGTTTACCCACCTCCTCTGGTTGTGACAAGACAAGATGATGGCCTGGACGTGCACCAATCAGACCTCCTCGGCCTCACACTTGGAGAGGAGGAGCAACATCAAGGGTGTGGATCTGTGACCTGGACACACCCACAGCCTTGCAGGCCTCCAGTAAGGAAATGCTGACCTCATCTCTACTGCCCACACGGAGGGCCCTGCCTAAGGAAGAGTGATCTCCAATAGACACAAGCAGGAGTTGAAACATAAGACCATACTTCCTCTGACACAGGAACTCTTGATGATGTATTTATTAATTCGAAGTTTTACCTGCTATTTATTGAGTACCCTACACAGATACCAGAGCAGTGAGCAGGTGATCACATAGGTTCTTGTCTGGATCCTATTGCAGGGGCTGTGCACACAACAGAGCCTGGAGTAAGACTCACATGGGGCTAGAGGGCTCCTCTGTTGGTCAGGATGCTTTTCCCAAAGGAGCTGTCACAAAAATACTAAGTGGACTAGCAGGGGTTCCCTGCTGACAGGCCCACCCACATACATTCCTGTCTTTGCTCCCCATGTCAGCCCCTATACCTAAATATGGATGCTTACCCTTGGCAGCTGAACAGTGGAGTCTCATGCTCATGAAACTGTGGCCAATCCCTGCATGCCCCACCTGGCTCCATTTCAAAGGGAAAGTCTGGAAGAAAATGCTGCAACCACTTAGGAGGGTCCTGCAAGCTGGGGCGGGCAGTAAGCATCCCTCCCAGCTCAGAAGCCTTTCCTTTGCGTCAATGACATTTTATGTTGGTCTTAGCCACTTGTGAGTTTGAGGACAGGTGTCACTTCAGTTACCTAGAGCTCCCTCTAAGTATTCCCGACTCCCCACTTCTTCAAAGTGTTACCTGTTACCCCAACCCTGAGTCTGCAAACTAGCTTTGTTTTGTTTTTTTTTTCTTCTTCGTCTTTGTTTTTTGAGACAGCATCTCTATGTAGCCTGAATGTCCTGGAACTTGCTATGTGGACCGTGCTGCCCTCTAACTCACAGAGATCTGCCTGCCTGTCTCCTGAATGCTGGGATTAAAGGCCTGAGCCATTACAACACCCACTGAAATCTATTTATTGACCTTTTGGAGCTTAAGTGAAAATTAAAGCCCCAGTTTAGAAAAGTGCAATGACTTCTGGTTAACTGTGGGGTCTGATGTGTCATTTGGGAGGCGGTGTCTTCAACAGGGCTGCTGGGCCCATTCTGGGGCGTGGCCAGGGAGTCTTATCTCCAGGGCCAGCTGAAACTACCCTGGTCTCCCGCACCGCACCGCGGGCTTTGTGCCATGGAGTCTGTCCTGCTCCCGTCGCTTTTGCTGGTGGCCGCCTATCCAAGGGGTGTGAGCTCCCACCATGAGTGGAGGCAAAGCCCTCCCGCGCCTTCCGGGACCTCAACGCCTTTCTTGGTGCGTTTAAGCCCTGAGCAGGAGGCTGTGCCTCCCGGGGGCTCGGTGTGGCTTAACTGCAGCCACAGCTGCCCCCTGCCGGTGCGTTCCAGCCTGCGCACGCAGCTGCGGCAGGGAAAGACACTCAGTGGATCGGGTTGGGTATCTTACCAGCTGCTGGACGTGAGGGCCTGGAATTCCAAGGTGCGTTGCGTCGTCACTTGCGCTGGAGAAACGCGCGAGGCCACCGCCATGATCACCGCTTACAGTGAGGGAGACCGGTGTTCAAGCCGGAGTGGGGAGAGGGGAGAAGGGTGGAGGAATGGGATAGTTGGCAGTTACTTTAGGAGGTGCCTGTGGATCTTACCCCTCTTGCCTTAGAACGGCCGAGAAGCGTGATCATGGAGCCTCCGGTCCTAATGGGCCACAAGTACACTCTACGCTGCTATGTGATACACGTGTTCCCCGTGGGGTTCTTGGTGGTGAGCCTGAGAAGAGGTGGCCGGGTGGTTTATTTTGAAAGTCTGGAGCGCTTCACCGGTTCAGGTCTGGCTAATGTCACTTTGACCTACGTGATGCGGGCAGGACCCAACGACCTCTGGCAACCACTCACCTGCCATGCACGCCTCAATCTCGACGGGCTAGTCGTGCGCAGCAGTTCTGCACCTGTTATGTTGAAGGTCCTCGGTGAGGCACCCTGCAAACTTGGGGAATTGGTGCGGGGGAGGGGATGTTACCACCCCAAGAGGGCCAGCAGAACAGGGGTGGGCTCCATCCACGCTTGGAGGTCCTCAGACCTCCTCGTTCCTGATTTTCATCCCGCTCCCAGCTTTGAGTCCAGTCTCCAAAGCCTTGGCTTCTGCCTCCATCGCAGCCCTGGTGGGGATCCTCCTGGCTGTGGGGACTGTCTACGTGCGCAAGTACCTGGCCGTTCAGACTCAGTTGTAGACGGGTGTTCGATGCCCCGAACAAGAGGGAGGAAAAAGAAGCCCAGAACAACTAATTTACATACTCATGTTGGATCAATAAAGCCTTCTTCCTCAGTCTTTGTCCTACGGTTCTTGGAGGAAGTGGTTTCAATTTTAGGGGACCCTGACGTCTCCAAACTCCTTGTTTATTGGCTGAAGATTTATAGCTCGGGTACGTTTGCCTAGCCTTGGTTTCAATACCCGGTATCGGAGTAAACAACATCTTGTGTGTCTCAAGGCACCTGAAGTTTCTCCTTCAAGACCGGCTTGAGGTCCCAGAACCCGAGTTCCTCTCCGCGTTCAGTCTTGCTGGATTAATCCGTGCAGGGCAGAAGGGCTAAACTGGCCTCTCCTCCAGGCCCTGAGTTGGGGGAGGACAGGCTCTTAATATGGCCTTTTCTGATTGGCTCTGCGGATACACACCATAGCTCTGATTGGAAGCTAAGTTTCCCTTCTCTAATCTTCTCCCTAGCAGATCTTGCGCGTAACTGAGGCCAGTGGGTGGAGCTAGAACCGGTCCCCGGGGTTAGCATTAATGAAGGGGGAGGGAAAACATGATTGGGCGGGGTCTCCTGCACGGAGTAGAAGCCCAAACCCAGATTGGAAATCTAGCATAGCAACAAGTTTGAGATGATTGCTCAGACCACATGGGCTGTCACTGACTTCCATCCTGGCAACGCGTTTGTTGTCACCGAGCCAGGCTTGCATCTGGGGAGGGGTGTCAAAGCTTAGAGACAGATGCGAGGTCACAAGTGTCCCCAGTTGATCTTCTGGTTCAGCTAGGATTGCAGAATCTCGTACTGGTTATCCAGCAGAGGCTGCGGTGCCCACAGATGCTCTCCTGAGAGACTCGGTTCACAACAGCATTGTAGACACATTCCCGCTGCACGCTGGGTAAATACAGATCGTGTGCCGAAACCGACTCTAATTTAGACGCCCGCGAACGCGGCGCACACGCACACGTGTCTGCGATACGCGGGCACTTGATCCCCCTCCTCCGTCGCCGCCTGCACGGAGGAGGTCTTAGGGGCGTGGCTCCCATGTTCAATCTGCTGGAGGTCAAAGCTAAGCCTCAGTTAAGGGAGGCTTCCCCACACCCTCCTCTTAAAACCACCTTTTCAGCATACTACGACTTCCCAAGATTCTACAAGCAACCCACCATCCACCTATTCCAAGGGGCGCTAGTGGGAGGCCGAAGATGGGCGTGGCCTGGAACCCTAGCGCGTTATCCCAGAATCTGTACCTAGGATGGTGGAGTTTGGGCAGGGCCTTATAGCATCCCTCCTCTCCTTCGCCACAGATGACGCGGGAGAGCGTGGTCGCCCCCAAAAGGCTTTAGACCATCAGACCGCTCCACATAGACCCCCTCCCCCTACGGGGGACCGCTCCTGCCTGGTCAGCTAGTCTGCTCTAAACCGAGAGCAGCCCGGTGCGTGCTCGTCTCCCGGCAGTTCGCCCCCCATCACCGCCTCTGCCACCGCCCCCTCCTTGGAAACCAAGTTACCAACGTTTAAACCAATCCCTGGGCGCAACTCTGCCACCCCCACACTCCACCCGCTGCGCTGCGCCGTCCTCCCAGCTCGGCTCTCCATCACTCGCGCTCCCCTTGCCTCCTGCGTTCTCCCCTCCCCGGCAGCGGCGGCGATGCCGGGGCCTTCGCCAGGGCTGCGCCAAGCGCTTCTCGGCTTCTGGGCGGCCCTGGGCCTGGGGATCCTCGGCATCTCAGGTAAGAAGAGCCGGCCCGCGGAGCCAGGTGGACAAGGCGGGGGCGGTTTTGAAGGACCCGAGAGGGCGGCCCGGGTGTCCCTCCAGGCTCCGCCCTCTTCTTGCTTCCCACGCTTCTGCCACCACTGGAACCCGGGGCTTCTCCCCATCCCTCCTCCACCCCAACACACCTCGATCTTTCAGATCTGAACCCAGCACCTTTTCTGGATTCGGGGTTTTGCACCTAACCCCGCTCAGGAGACATTGTGGCTTTCCTAGTCTTTCCTGCTCTGTCGTGCCCTATGGTTCACGGACTGGCATCATCCCTATTCGTGATCCTCAAAGACCCCCATCTCCTCAACTCTTATGACTCAGAGGCTCTGTACCCCCTCCAGTTGTAGCCCTGGCAACCAGCTTTTCTGGGGCTTTTCCCGCGGTTCCTTCCAGGAGTCAGCCTTGAGGCTTTCTGTCCAAGTTACTCAAGTTTGGGGACAGTCTCCTTTAAGCCTTTGACTCAGTCTTGTCTCCACGCTTTCGCCCCCAGCCTCAGTGTGTCTCCCCACCCCCATTTCCTGACGATCCACCAGAGTCTTGAGACTCACTTGGTTCCCCATCCCCCCGACTGGAGTCTCCTCCTCCCCACTACTGACGTGTGCATTCGAGACCCCATTCTCCCCGCACCGAGTTTCCCCATCTGTGCCTTAGAAAGCAAGGCTTCCAGAGACGCCCCTCTCAGAGTGTGCCAGCCTCGAAGCTTGAGTGGGATGCGGGACTCCCGTGCTGATTCTTGGCGGTGGCCTCTCCTCGTCTTTGCTGAGACCCCTGATTTGGGATATAGGGGCGTTAAGATTTCAGAGAGGGGGTCCCCAGGCTGAGCCCGCGTTTTCCCGGTCAGCGGTCGCGCTAGAACCTTTCTGGGCGGACCTTCAGCCCCGTGTGGCGCTCGTGGAGCGCGGGGGCTCGCTGTGGCTCAACTGCAGCACTAACTGTCCGCGGCCGGAGCGCGGTGGCCTGGAGACCTCGCTGCGCCGGAACGGGACCCAGAGGGGTCTTCGCTGGCTGGCTCGACAGCTGGTGGACATCCGAGAGCCAGAGACCCAACCCGTCTGCTTCTTCCGCTGTGCGCGCCGCACACTACAAGCGCGTGGGCTCATTCGAACTTTCCGTGAGTTTTGGGTGGTCACCCCCCTTAGGTCTCTGGACCTCCCCTTCAACTCCGCCCACCGGCCCTCACTCCCTCCTTTCCACGCGCAACCGGGTGAGCGTTGCAGCTCACTAGAGCCGAAGTTTCGGTCCCTTGCAGAGCGGCCGGATCGGGTAGAGCTAGTGCCGCTGCCTCCTTGGCAGCCCGTGGGCGAGAACTTCACCTTGAGCTGCAGAGTTCCTGGAGCCGGACCCCGAGCGAGCCTCACGTTGACTCTGCTGCGGGGCGCCCAAGAGCTGGCCCGCCGCAGTTTCGCGGGCGAGCCACCCCGAGCGCGCGGCGCGGTGCTCACCGCCACAGTCCTGGCGCGCAGGGAGGACCACGGGGTCAATTTCTCATGCCTCGCCGAGCTGGACCTGCGGCCACACGGCCTGGGACTCTTCGCAAACAGCTCCGCCCTCAGACAGCTTCGCACCTTTGGTGAGTGTGGACTCTAACTGACAGGTTTTAAGAAGTTTAGGGTCAGCCAGGTGTAGTGTCGCATGCCTTCAGTCCCAACACTTGAGAGACAAGAGATAAGTCGGATCTCTGTGAATTTAAGCCCAGCCTGGACTACACAGCCAGGACTGCTCGAAGTTTAGCGCCTAACCCTTACTTCAACACCATTACTAGCTTAAGTGTATATATACCTCTGTGGGCTCATTTGTTTGTGTTTATATTTACATATTTATTGAGAAAGAGAGAGAGAGAGAGAGAGAGAGAGAGAGTGGAGAGAATGCACTCCCCATGGTGCATGTGTGGAAGTTAAAGGACAACTTTAGTGAAAGTTGGTTCTCTTCCACAATATGGGTCCTAGGAATCGAATCAGGTCGTTAGGCTTGGCGGCCAGCGTTTGTATTCGCTGAGGCATATCTCTGGCCCTTTTGTATTTTATGATGAAACCAAACAATGCATGCAAATTGTTTGGTCCACACTGAACGCTTAATATATATACTCGAGCTCTGGTTCTTTGTCTCCCCCAGCCCTGCCTCCAATTCCCCCGAGCCTAGTTGCTCCCCGATTCTTAGAAGTGGGCTCAGAAAGGCCAGTGAGCTGCACTTTGGATGGACTGTTTCCTGCCCCAGAGGCTGGGGTTTACCTCTCGCTGGGAGATCAGAGTCTGCATCCCGATGTGACCCTCGATGGCGACAACCTCGTGGCCACTGCCACAGCTACACCAAGCGCAGAACAAGAAGGCATCACACAGCTGATGTGCAGCGTGACCCTCGGGGGCGAGAGCAGGGAGACCCAGGAAAATCTGACTGTCTACAGTAAGGAAAATCGAGGATGGGCTTCAACTGCCGGGTCTGGGACCAGAGTCTCAGGAAGGCAGAGCCTTAAAGTGGGCGGAGCCTCCACGCCCGAATTGGCAAGGCGGGAGCGTTCCAGGGCAGGAGCTGCGGGAAGCTAGAAAGGACTGGATGGGGAGGTGTTGAAATACCTGAGGGGGCGTGGCCAGTGAACTCCACCCAATGTTTCACACACACCCCCAGGCTTCCCTGCTCCACTTCTGACTTTGAGCGAGCCAGAAGCCCAGGAGGGGAAGGTGGTGACCGTAAGCTGCTGGGCTGGGGCTCGAGCCCTTGTCACCTTGGAGGGAATTTCTGCAGCGGTCCCGGGGCAACCCGCTGAGCTCCAGTTAAATGCCACAGAGAACGACGACAAGCGGAGCTTCTTCTGCGATGCTGCCCTCGAAGTGGATGGGGAGACCCTAAGAAAGAACCAGAGCACTGAGCTTCGTGTCCTGTGTGAGTGGGTATTCACCCTTTCTTTGTGACCTCCAAGGACAACACCGCGGGCCCCATCTTTAACCATACTGTATTTCCTCTGCCGCTTTCTCTCAGATTCACCCCGGCTGGATGACTCGGATTGTCCCAGGAGCTGGACATGGCCCGAGGGTCCAGAGCAGACCCTCCGCTGCGAAGCCCGTGGGAATCCAGAGCCCTCGGTGCACTGTGCGAGGGCTGATGGCGGGGCCGTGCTGGCGCTCGGCCTGCTGGGCCCAGTGACTCGCGCCCTTGCAGGCACTTACCGCTGCACTGCGGTGAACGGCCAAGGCCAGGCGGTCAAGGATGTGACCCTGACTGTGGAGTGTGAGTGGGGAGAGGTTGGGATCTGCATCTCTTTTGGGAAGCTGGCCTACAGAGAGGGAAAGAGGCCCACCCAGCTCCAGCAGGGATTGGGAGGACACTGAAGGGAAGTGGGGGGGGGGGGTTCATAAACTTGGTTGTGGAGTCTGGGCACAGTCTGGCGGTCAAAACTGGGAAGTGTACCTGGGAAGGTCCCATGGGTGCTTTGTGGGAATCAGTCCAACAGCACCCTGAGACCTCAGGAAAAGGGCCTGACCAACTGAGTTTCTCTCCAGAACCCATGTAAAGGTGGAAAGAGAGAACTGCCTCCCACCTCCATGCATGGCTGGGTAATGCTTTCCCATACAAATATCACACAGATTAA